CGAAAAGTAACAAACACTTTTAATTGAAAGTTTCAGGCCATTATTGATGACTAAAAAAAGCCATTTTTATAAATGTTTATATTCACCCAGTTCAGCCGAAATGGGCTAAAAATACAAAAACAACTAAGAAAATACGTCCTGTGTGCAGGTGACGGTGCACTACGGCCAGCAGGGCGGCGCTGTGGTGCCGCTGAGGGTGCACACCGTGGTGGTTTCTGTGCAGCACGACGAGCAGGTGAGCCTGCAGCAGCAGAGGCAGGTGCTGCGGGAAAAGGTGGTCCAAGCCGTGGTCCCCGGCCGCTACCTGGACCAGGACACCGTCCTGCACCTGCAGCCCAGCGGCCGCTTCGTCATCGGGGGGCCTCAGGTACGAAAAAAGAAAGTAGTCCCAAACAACCATTATGGCCTGAAACTTTAAATTCAAAGTATGTCAGTGTCTTTCCCTTTTGTAGTGCCAAAGGACTTAGTTTATTCATTTAATTTTATTATTTACTACTTATATTTACTATTTACTATTACTACTACTTTACTTTACTACTTTACTAAACCCAAATATCCTATCTCAAAATATTAGAATATTGGATTTTTGAGTTTTCTTCAGCTGTACGCCATAATCAGCGATATTAAAACGATAAAAGGCTTGCGATATTTCAGTTGATTTGTAATGAATCCAGAATATATGACATTTCATGATTTTTAATTGCATGACAGAAAATAAAGAACTTTATCACAATATTCTAATTTTCTGAGACAGTCCTGTAGATAAGATGATACATTTGTGTCTGATTGATGCTTGGGAGGAAGTCCTTTTTGTCCGATTGAGGACAGACTTTGGGTGGCCCCAGTCATGTGACTCTCCCCCAGGGCGACGCGGGCGTGACGGGCAGGAAGATCATCGTGGACACGTACGGCGGGTGGGGCGCCCACGGGGGCGGGGCCTTCTCCGGGAAGGACGCCACCAAGGTGGACCGATCGGGGGCGTACGCCGCCCGCTGGGTGGCCAAGTCTCTGGTGAAGGCGGGGCTCTGCAGGCGGGTGCTGGTGCAGGTATTTATTTATTTATTTATTATAAAGTTTCTAATTCGAGCTCTTTCTGGAGGTTATTCCATCCCCAAGGTGCAGAGTAGGAGAAGGCAGTTTTTCCCAACTCAGTTAAAGCTAAAAAGTAACCACTGAGAGGAGCGCAACTGATAACTACCAGAACTCACAGAGAGGAGGTTACA